GTGTATGTATGTATGTATATTCAACTTCGAGTGCGTAAATGCATTGGTGCACTTCAAGCATTGTTGGACTGAAACTACTTGAAGTTTAACGGTAACCAGCGTTTGAAATTGAAAATTTTAAAATAGATGAGGAGTGTCTCCCCCCCCTCTGTTTAACTGTTTCTTCTATCTCCCCCCGCCCCTTTTTAAGCGTTATTTTTTAAATCTCACTTTCTTTCACTAAGAGTTAAGAGATTATTGTTTCAGGATGTAATAAAAACAGTCACACATTAAAAGAAGCCCTAACTTACATAAGTAAACAAAAAACATTTTCGTTTTTTTTTTTTTTTTATTGATTATCAATCTTTACAGTTCAAACTCGTGCTTCCCAACCTTTCTTTTATTTGATAGGAGGGTGCATATCTCACTTAAGCATTTCCAAATTTCTGATTCCACGCCCATCTCCCCGCGTATATAATTCTTATTATTCAAAAATTGAGTTTCTATTCACGAGGAGGAAGAGCCTAAAAGGTGATTAACTTAACTTTCCATAAGAACTTGCGGCTGCATATATGCAATACTGTTATCATTTAATTTTAGAATTTTACAATATTTATAAGAAATATTGGGTTACTAATATAAATATAGTACATACGTAATTACACATGGACATGCATACACACAAATATTTTTTATGCATCATATGTATTAACTAGCACACACAATCATACACAGACCCACTAGAAAAAAATCATTGTTAAATAACACACTCTTGAATTGTTCCCACCTTAAAAATCAAATTGCCCCCTCCCCTGTGGGGTGTGCGCTCCACTTTAGGAAACACGGGTTTACACTAAAGCTTGTATACATCTAACGAGAGTCTACAACTCCCATTGCCGTATTTATTTCAAAGCTCGTGACGAGATCACGAAGGAGGTTAATCGGTGCTAGAAGTGAAATTGGCGACCAGAGTTCAAATTCTGTGTTCACTTTCACACTATTATCCTAGGAATCGTCCTCATAGTTAAGGGTTAAAAATTATATCACTGCTATATAGAAGGATTGATATATGACAGACCAATACTCTTTTGCTTTGTTTCTAAAGAAATTTTCCTATCACTTATTACTTTGTTTAGTTTCTGGAAGGCATCTTTCGCTACTCCACCAATGCGCCTTCGGATCACTGTGTCACATTTTCAATTTCTCTATCTGTTTGATTCAGTCATCTCCAATTCGTAGCTCACACATTGGATGGCCCCTTTTTCTGACAACCATATATTCTTTTTTGTTTAGTTTTTTTTGTTTTTTGGGGGTCTTTTTTTTTTTTTCGCTTTGCTTTGCTACATTGTCTTAGGGATTTTGCAGTTTTCCTTCTGAGTCTGTCAACAAAACAGAAAAAAGTGTAATAATCATAGAGAATATATCGAGAGGGTCCTCACTGATAAAAAAAAAATCAATATTTTTATGAACCTTATTAATTAGCTTAGATTCGTATTTCAATTTTATTTCTGGACAACGTAAATTGAAAACATTATTGTTAATATAATATATATATATATATATATATATATATATATATATATATATATATATATATATATATATATGCACGGTATTTAGTGGAAAGTGTTCAATATCTGTGATAGAGCTAGCATATGCGGTTGCATGGATAATAGTTTTAAGCCCGAGGGTACAAACTACTATTAATGCAAACGCATATATATATATATATATATATATATATATATATATATATATATATATATATACGATAAAATCCAAAACCACCTTATATCGGGAATAATCTTATTTTGACAGACGAAAATATAATCCGTCTGTCTTTTGTTTTTATTTATTTTTTTTTTTTGCTTTCACAGTTAAATTTCTATTTCGGACACAAACACAGTCTATATCAGGGTGGATAAGACAAGGGACTTATATTTACGTCTGTCGAAATTGACAATTCCCCACATGAGGTTATTTTGGATTTTACTGTGTATTAATTACATTACTCTGTATTAATAAATATATTGAGCTCTTTTTGTGGATCAGTTTTAATATTTTATATTTCTAGGATCCACTTTTACTGCAGATGTGCAAATTGTGTAATTTTTAGCGGGCCGATTTCAAATTCTATCCGATTTGGTTACGTTCACTTACGCCCTTGAGAAAGGTATGAATCCATCTTATTTTCCTCAAGCTATGGTTGGCAACCAGTCTAAGAGGAGGACAACTCTGAATTCAAAACCGGCTCGTGTGCTAATAGGTCGTTAAAAGTCCTTCAGCCTATATAGAGATGGTGACGCAATGAAAATATTCCCCCCCCCCTACACACACACACACGCCAGTCGCCTGTGCCACTCCAGTGTATGTGTCAGCCTGAAAAAAAAATGCACGGTGATTGAAAGTCTTCGGTCACGTGAGTTGCACAATCTGCTGCAGGCGGAGATAACGTCTTGTTTTTTTTCGCAATATCTGATTATTAATTAATCAGATCTTTCTGGAGTAATGTTTTCTGATC